CCTGTGTCGCCCCTATCCTCTCTTCCTTCTCCACGCCCTGTCAACTCTATCTCACCACCACCTTCCCTTGGTCGCGGCCTCCGCCCCAAGCAACCTTCTGTCTTATTGAAGGATTATGACTGTTCACAGGTCACCACGTCGCCTTCCACGTCCACGTCTTCTTCGCGGTCAGGTACTCACTATCTCCTCTCTCATTATCTCTCTTCTTCCCATTTATCACCATCTCACCAAGTGTTTATCAATACCATCACTCGTAGCGTCGAACCTACTTCTTTTGCCCAGGCCAACCTTGATCCTCGTTGGCAAGCTGCCATGCAGTCTGAACTTGCTGCACTTGAACAAAACCATACCTGGACACTCACTTCCCTGCCTCCTGGCAAACGTGCTATCGGCAGCAAGTGGGTTTACAAGATCAAACATCGCTCTGATGGCTCCATAGAGCGCTATAAAGCGCGTTTGGTTGTCAAAGGTTACACGCAAATTGAAGGCCTAGACTATTCTGAAACATTTGCACCGGTGGCCAAACTTACCACTGTTCGTTGTTTATTAGCCGTGGCTGCTCAACGCCACTGGCCCCTCCACCAGCTCGATGTCCAGAATGCTTTTCTCCATGGTGATTTGGACGAAGAAGTTTTCATGTCTCCACCTCCTGGACTTCGTCGACAAGGGGAGAACTTGGTTTGTCGACTCCATAAATCCCTCTATGGCTTGAAGCAGGCTTCCCGTCAATGGTTTTCAAAATTTTCTCAAGCCATTCAACTCGTGGGGTTCAAACAATCAACTGCAGACTACTCATTGTTCACCTGCACTACTGCCCATTCCATTACAGTGGTTCTCATCTATGTTGATGACATGATCATTACAGGGAACAACCATGAGGCTATTCAACGTTTAAAACAATTTCTTCATCATCAGTTTCGCATTAAGGACCTCGGACATCTCAAATATTTTCTTGGGATCGAAGTGGCTCGTTCACAACAAGGCATTTCTATCTCACAAAGGAAATATATTTTGGACATACTGGACGATGCTGGACTATTAGGGGCATGTCCGGTGGATTTTCCCATGGAACAAGATTTGAAGTTGAGGCCAACGGATGGTGAGTTATTGAAGGATCCAACCAGATATAGAAGGATCGTGGGACGACTCATTTACCTCACCATAACAAGGCCAGATATCACATTTTCTGTCCAAAATCTTAGCCAGTTCATGAACCAACCACGCAAGCCTCATCTTGAAGCTGCTATACGAGTCTTGAAATACCTCAAAGGGACTCCAGGACAAGGTCTATTTTTTCCATCTACAGATGCATTACAATTGAGTGGTTACTGTGATGCTTCATGGGCATCATGTCTAACGACTAGAAGGTCCGTGACAGGTTATTGTGTGTTTTTAGGGAAATCACTTATCTCCTGGAAGACTAAAAAACAACATACGGTTTCACGATCGTCTGCAGAGGCAGAATATAGATCAATGGCTGCAATCACTTGTGAACTTACATGGCTTCGTTATCTGTTACAAGATTTACAGGTCTCCCATGTAGCTCCAGCTCATGTTTACTGTGACAATAAGGCAGCTTTACACATTGCAGCTAATCCAGTATTCCACGAGCGAACTAAACATATCGAATTAGATTGTCACTTGGTCCGAGAAAAGTTACATTCAGGAATGATTGCAACAAGGTTCACACCTTCAAAGCATCAGTTGGCCGACATATTTACAAAAGCGTTAGGAAAGGCAACGTTTCATTCTCTTCTCAGCAAGTTGGGCATCCAAAACATTCATGCTCCAACTTGAGGGGGAGTGTTAAAGGAACAGAAATCACTCAATCTGTACAAGGTGGATAGCAGGAATGTAGCATGTGGATGCACATTCCTGGACAGTTTGGACAGCTGCATGAGGATACCAAAATCCTTGTCAGAAAGGGTTTGCACATGGTGGATGCACAACATGGACGTGTCAGTTACATCATGGGCAGCAAGGATGCAGCAAGGATGCCCATTCCCTTTTATATTTAATTATTGCATGCGTGCTATCATTGTATGTATATATATATTAGCTGTTTTCATTTAGGACAGATTTGAATAATAAGAGCATTCTTCCATTCCAATTTCATAGAATTTCGCGACTGCATCGACGTGTTAGAAGGAGAGCTCGAAGACAAGCCCTTCTTTGAGGGGGAGACCCTCGGATTCGTGGACGTGGCGCTTATTCCATTCTATAGCTAGTTTCTTGTGTATGAAAAATTTGGCAACTTCAGTGTTGAGACAGAGCACCCAAAGTTTATTGCCTGGGCCAAGAGGTGCACGGAGAAGGAAAGCGTGTCCAAGTCGCTTCCCGAGCAGGAAAAGGTCTACGATTTTGTCACACTTATAAGGAAAAAGTTTGGAATTGATAGATTTTGCTAGCTCATTTGGTTTTTTCTGTATTTCAAGATTCAACCTCTTTTGGGTTGTTGAAATAGAATAAAAGGGCACTTGACCAAGCCTTGTACTGTACGAGCACTTTATTGTGTCTCTGGTCATATGTTTATTTTGCTTCTCTAGTCAAATTATTATACTGTCGTCAACTTATTATGGTAAGGAATCTAAATCTACTTCATCAAATTTCCTATTTTGTAACCAGTCCATATCGAACGGTAAATTATTGGTTGTCACCAGTTGCATTTAATCATGAGTTTATCTCTCTTATCAAGTGACAAAGATTCATAGTTGTATGCAACCAATTATACAGTGAATTTTCTCCTATCCAACTTTGACTTAACATTTTTCAGTCCCATGAGAGCATGTGCAGCAGACACAACAAAGGATCTTACGTGAACATCTCGACAGAAAACCAAACTGAAAAGGACATGAACTAAAAGAACGCATCCTAACAGTCATCAAAAGATTTTTTTTTTAACATCTCATACACCATTTTAAGGTCAGCAAGAGATTTCGACATGCTCTCCCTCTGCAAGCACCTATTTGCCCATGCAATGATCTTGGCACTCTGCTTCTATGCTTAAGTTTCCACAGCTCTCAAATACATAAAACCTCTTCCGACTCCGCCATTGTTGTCTTGACGCACAAACTTCTTGCAGATGAATTTGCTTCTTGCCAATATCTGACACCTGCGTTTCAGTCTCACTTATATTGGCCGATTCTTATTTCATAACCGGTATGAAATCAGTCAATAATATCTTCTACATATACATTTTTGTTCCTGTAATTTGTTTCATATTTCATTTTCGTCCATACAGTGCACACTTGGTCAACAACTGATTTGTTCATTCCTATACGAACCTACATCATGGGATCCCATGCACATAAGTTACGCATGAATTGGATATAATCTTGGGCAATCGGCTACAATACACATGTTTTGACATTTGGTTGCACCATTGATTACACTTTCTAAAATTGCTCTTTTGATCAATTTTGCATGTTAAAAATTCATAGTGCTCTTCATTAATCAGAAAGGAGGCAAAAATACAGCGAGGCTCTAATGACACCGCCATTTCGATATTGAACCACCACTCAGACTAGAACACCACAATGACACCACAATTACACTTCAAGAAAAAACAACCAAAACCTTATTTTCAAAGAACTCCATTTAACAAAAAGGGACTTACATTTCAATTTGATTTAAACCAAAATTCTTAGGATTTTGAACCACCAGTGCAACAATAACAATCTGACGACCCACAACGACACTCCAATGATACTCCCCATTTTCTAATTTGAACTAGCACAACTACAACAACAATCTGATGAAGCCACAACGACACTCCAATGATACTCCCCTTTTTATGATTTTGAACCAACATAGCCACAACAACAACCTGTTGATGCCACAACGACACACCCCCATTTTTTGATTTCGAACCACCTCAGCCACAACACTTTGTTCAAGGAACCCTCTCCTTCTTCATTCCCTAACTACCACAACCAAATTTCAAATACAAAAAATAAAAAAATTGGGCTAAAGCAAGATGAAAGAAAGAGAGAGAGAGAGAGAGAGAGGAAGAAGAAGAATGGATATGGGAGGTGGAGAAATAAGAAGCTTACCTCCTTTCATGGTGTTCCAGATGATATATACCGCTCCACATTTGATTAGTCAAGACAGCGCAATCGAAGAATGGATTTGTGAGTGTTGGTGGTTTTTTATTTTTATTTTTTATCAATGAAGGACATGATGACCAATGAAAAGATCAACGAAGGGTAGTGTGGACTTTTCACAGGAAAAATTGATCAAATGAACAATTTTTTAAGAGTGGTGTTATGCCCACCCCAATGTCTTATCTCCCCATCCATCTTATATTTACACCCACCATAAAAAAAGAAAAAAAAAATATAAACTCTATTCCCACCCACCATTATTTCCAAAATAACCCTTGCTTTAAAAAGTAATTATAGTTGCCCTATAATATTTTGAGGTCATAATTAGATCTATCCTCTAACAAAATCACTAAACTAAAAGCTAGTGACAGTAACTCATAAGTAAATATTACTATAAAAGCGACCAAGAGTGATAGTAAAACTTATGCGAAATACATATTTATAGTCGAGGTCAGATCTGCTCCATGTCAAGGCTCCTTACCGAACTTGACCCAAATTAGGACAATAGCACAAAGGTAAATAACTCAAAATCAGGGGTAAGTTACACAAACTTACAACCAAGGCCCAAAATACCCAAAGCAAAACGGGGCCAACCAAACACACCAAAACAAGCCCAACCAAAAGTTGGGACCGAAGAAAACAGAAAACTAGAAACACTGCTGCCGCGGCAGTGCTTGAGACTATTATAGTAATAACTCAAAAGAATTAAAGTATGAGCTCGAGGTGGGTCCCGACACAAAGACTCCACCTGCTTGTTCAATTTCGTCAACCAAAAATTGATATCTTTTCCAGCAAGAAAATAGAATCATTATAAAACAATATATCGTCCGACTATTAGAACACGTATTATATTATATTATTACAAATCAACATAAATTAACAACGAAAGCTAGGAAATGCAGATTTGATGTCGAGCGCAGTGACATAATCACCATCCAATTGGAAGACTCTCGAATATCATCTCCATGTCCGGAGTCTTTGACGACTGCTTCTCCTCTGCATTTTCTGTCTATAACTACGCGATCTGCTAGTCTGTTTCTACCACCACTACTCACACTCACAATCGCAGCTTTTTGTAACCTTAGAAACTTTGTTCAAATCTGATCAACCTTCAATGGCGGATGAGGTGGTGTTGCTGGATTTCTGGCCAAGCCCATTTGGGATGAGACTGAGGATTGCTCTGGCTGAGAAGGGCATTGTGTATGAGTACAAAGATGAGGATATTTGGAACAAGAGCCCACTGTTGCTGCAGATGAACCCGGTTCACAAGAAGATCCCGGTTCTCATTCACAATGGAAAGCCCGTCTGTGAGTCCCTCATTGCGCTTCAGTACATTGATGAGGTTTGGAATGATAAGGCTCCGCTCTTGCCCTCCGACTCTTACCTCAGAGCCCAGGCCAGGTTCTGGGCTGACTTCGTCGACAAGAAGGTGATTTTTACTCATTAATTTACTTACTTATTTGTAGTATTTTTGTTTTGTTTTGAATATGAATTATAAGATTGTAATGATTTTACTACTTAGGGTTTGTATTAGAAGGAAAATTAAACGGAAACTGGATCTCTGTTTATGTTTTCGGGGTTAATAGTATGTTCGCTTTTAAAATATAGTTCACTAAGATTTCATGTTACGGTTCCGGGTCTAAGGTTTAGGGATTGTGAATTTGTGATGTATATATTAGAAAGATATAAGCAGAGGATCTGAACTTGCTCAAAATAATTATTAATTTTCTTGGAATTTTGGGATGGTGAAATGCAGATATATGAGATTGGGAGGAAGCTGTGGACAACCAAAGGAGAAGAACAGGATGCAGTAAAAAAAGAATTTCTCGACTGCATTGGCGTGTTAGAAAGAGAGCTTGGAGACAAGCCTTTCTTTGGGGGGAATACCCTCGGATTCGTGGACGTGGCGCTTATTCCATACTATAGCTGGTTTCTTGTGTATGAGAAATTTGGCAACTTTAGTGTTGAGGCAGAGCACCCAGAATTTATTGCCTGGGTTAAGAGGTGCATGGAGAAGAAGAGCGTGTCCAAGTCGCTTCCCGAGCAGGAAAAGGTCTACGATTTTGTTATGCTTGTAAGGAAAAAGCATGGAATTTAGTAGATTTTGGTGGAAGCCTGCAAGAAGCAATTGATGATCAATGTCATTCCATCTTGTTCGGTCGTATGGTTGTTCTGTCTTTCAAGATTCAACTTGTTTTGGGTTGTTGAATAAGAATAAAAGGGCACTTGACCAAGCCTTGTACTGTACGAGGCACTTTATTGTGCCTCTGGTCGTACGTTTATTTTGCTTTTGTCGTCAAGTTATCACACTTGTCAACTTGTTATGTAAGGGATCTAAATCTACTTTATCAAATTTCTTATTTTGCAAGCACTTCATATCGACCAAACGGATTATTGGTTGTCACCAGTTGTATTTAATTATGAGTCTATCTCTCTTATTAGGTGATAATGATTCAAAGTTAATTGATCAATTCTTGTTTCACAACCATATAGAATCAACCAGTAATATCTTCTACATGTACATTTTTGTTCCTGTAATATGATTCATATTTCATTTTCGTCAATACAATGCACCCCCGGTCAACAAGTGACTTGTCCGTACCTATATGAACCTACTGTTAGAGTATGAGTGTGATTCTTACAGTTTAGTAATAATCATTGTTATTTTAGATTGGTACAAAGAGGTCTTAATGTGTTTATAAGAGTTAATTCAACTTTGGTTTGGATTGAAACTCTACTGTTGGCTTGAGAATAGAACTCATACTTATACAAGGATTTGGTCTTGTATTCCTTGTAGGATTGTAATAGGGCAATCTATGTTTAGTATAAAAACATAAGCCATTGCTCTCACAAAACATATGCTCAATATTGAACTAAGACCTATTGTTAGTTTGAGTACTTTTGGTTTTGCAAGAGAGGAGAAGGTGCACTGTTTAGAAGTCTGCTTTGGCTTCTTCTTCTGCTGCTTTTACGGGTTAGTTTGTCATTGTGTTTATTAAATTGTGATTTTAATACTTATATAAATTTGTGGTTCATGAGCTTAATCTCTTAACTTATATTTTGATGAGTTTAATCTTATACCTACTTCATGAGATCCCCATGCACATAAGTTTAAGTTATGCATTAATTTGATATAATCTTGGGCAATTAGCCACAGTAGATATGTTTCGATATTTGATTGCATTTTTTATTACACTTTCTAAAAAATTGCTCTTTTGATCAATTTTGCTGTGAAAAGTGCCCTTCATTAATAAAAAAAGGGTGCAACAATATAGACACCCAACTTCCAACGAGACCTCCCTTCGTTTTTTATGTTTAACTACCACTTAGACAACACCACAATGATGCCACAACTACACTCTAATTATTAAAAAAAAAAAAGACTAAAAACTCATTTTCAAAAACTTCATTAACCAAAAAGGACTTACATTTCAATTTGATTTAAACCAAAAGCCTCAGGATTTTGAACAACCACTGCAACAACAATAATCTGAGAAGCTACAAACTCCAACGATACTCCCCATTTTATGATTATGAACCCAGCACAACCATAACAACAATCTAATGACACCACAACGATGCACCTCCTTTTATGATTTTGAACCAACACAACCACAACAACAATCTAATGACGTCCAAATGATACACCCCCATTTTTTTATTTTGAACAACCTCAGCCGCAATAATTCATTGAAGGAACCCTCACCCTCTTCATTCCCCAACCACCAAAACCAAATTTTGAATCCAAAAACCGAATAATGAGCTAAAGCAAGAAGAGAGAGAGGAAGAAGAAGAAGAATGGATCAGAGAGGTGGAGCAATAAGAAGCTCACCAACTTCCATGGTGTTCTAGATGTTCTTTGCCGCTCCAAATTTGATTAGTCAAAGAGGAGCAACCAAAGAATGGATCTGAGAATGGATTTGAGAGTGTCGTTGGGTGTTGGTGGGGTTTTTTTTTTATCAATGAAGGGCAGTATAAACTTTTTACAGGCAAAATTGATCAAAAGAGCAATTTAAAAAAAAAAGTGTGATCAAAAGTCCAACCACATGTCAAAACATGTCAAATGTGGCTAATTGCAATATAATCTTCTAAGGGCATAATTGATCTAGCCTCTAACAAAACCACTAAAGCTAGTGATGATAACTCATAAGTTATATTGGCCAAAACATCGACCGACGACTTATTACCATAAAAGCAGTCAAGCATGATAGTAGCCCATATTGCGAAATAAATTTATACTTATAGTCGAGGTCATATGTACTCCTCGTCGAGGCTTCTGACCGAACTTGATTTTCTTGTGCTATTAATTGTCGACACTTTTGTTATTATTGTGGTGTGATTGTTGTCACTTACCATTACTGAGTTAGAGACCTATGAGTTGATCGGTAAATATAATTTAAAAGTGTGTTTTCACCAATGTAATATATATATATATATATATATATATATATATATATATATATATATAAATGGTTTCTCTAGCATTACACTCTAAAGAAATTGGATCCTCGCCGGATCCTCTTTGTGAGGATTTTGGGAATCCTCAAATCACATTCGTTCATCATACATCGTGTGGTAAAAAATTATTATAATTTTTTATATTTAAAATTGAATATAAACAATACTTGACAAAAATTGACCGCACAATATACAATAAATAGATGTGATTTTGGTAAGTTCTCCAATGCGAGAAAGCCACATAACTCAAATGATCGAATGCTTGAAGATTAACTAGGCATCAAATGGTCAGGGGCAGCAACCACTTTTGCACTTAACAGTTCGCTCATCTGACACTTCATCTTCAACAGCTCCGATCTCGGTAGCTCCATCCTCGACTGCTCCATCTACGGTAGCTGAGAAATCAAAATCAAGCAGTTTCCTTATTTTTGGCAAGCAGCACAAGCAATGGCCCCTACCACACCACCTCCTTGGCCCATGCCAAGCCTACTCCTGACCCCTACCAGCCGACGTGCCGCACCACCTCGACGACTGCCCCGTGGCAGCACCTTCCAAGAAGAAGACAATGAGAATTAAGTTTTTCTTACATTGGTGCGGCGTGAAGAAGACAAAGAAATCAACGGAAGACAGTTCTTTGCACGGGCAAGCAAAGAAGAGTGCTAGGGGAGGGGGAACAAATATTCTCTAGTTTTCTCTCTTTCTTGTAGGGATAAATAATTGCCCTCCAAAGTTGATTTAATCCCCTACTTAAGGTAGGCTTAAATAGGCTTTGAAGGTGATTTATTTCCCTTTCCTAGAAGAATCTAATTCCAAGTCCAAGAGAGAATCTACATCAAAGTTGGAGATCTCTACAACTACTGCCCTTTCCTGCGAGCAGCCCAGCAGGTGTGGGGGCAGCAAAAAATAATCAAGAGACGACACGTGGATTTTTGGGCAGAAGGGACCAAATTATCCTTGAGGAGCACCAGAATTCTTACGCGAGAGCAGTGGACAATCATCCCACAATCAAGTCAAAAGTGCCCAAAATAGTTATTTATTCAAAACCTATTTCATCCATCTTCTCCACAAGGTAACCCCCAAAACATTCATTTTAAATTATGTTAATTAGCCAATTAATAGATTTATTACCTAATTAATCTATTAATGGCTAATTAAATTACCAATTAACTACAAAATACACTCAAAAACACCACAAAGGGCTGGCCACCTACTCCCCCAAGGAGGCCCACCATGCCTTATATGTATACTACCCCATTTTCTCTAAAAACCTAGGTCTACATTCTTGCTAAATACTCAAAATTCTCCAAACACCACTTTTCCCTCAAAATTCTAACTTTGGCATTGAAGGTTCTTTGGCCAAAGAGTCCCCCCCCCCGCCCCATTCATCGTGGGCACGTGAGACTATTGGCCTTGACCTAAGGTGTTATTTGTTTTGTAGGTACAATTTTGTTCAAGAACAAGGAGGAAGAAATTTGCGTGTACAGACATGACATATGATTATCTTACTTGTAAACAAGAAAATAGTTAGGCTTTTTTCTAACGTTTTTATGAGTGGTATCAGAACCATTGGGGGAGACGAAGGTTGCAGAACCATTGGAATTTCTTATCAATCTAGGGTTTCTTTCCCTTTTAATTATATTTTTAATTTTCCAAATTTTAATTTTTTTTTCAGTTATATTTTATCTTTAATATTAGTTAAAATTCACATAAGTATCCATGTCATTTAATGAATAAATAAGAACCATTGGATGCTATGTAATCAAAAGGCTTAAAAAAATGTAAAAGCATTTGTCCCTTGATCCTATCTCATATATATAATTTATGGTTTCTCTAGCATTACACTTATAAAAAATTGGATCCTCGCCGGATCCTCAAATCACATCCGTTCATCGTACAACGTGCAGTAAAAAATTTTGTAAATTTTTTTATTTAAAATTAAATATAAACATCCTGACGAAAACTGATCGCACGATATACAATGAATGAATGTGATTGTAGGATCTTAACAAACAATGCGGAGTTTTAGGTAAAATGACTCAAAAGAATTAAAGTATCAACTAGAGGTGGGTCCTGACACAAAGACTACCTCCTTGTACAAGTTCGTCTACCTAAAATTGATATCTTTTACACCAAGAATTTAGAATTATTATAAGGGAATATATTCATATGCTATAGTCCGACTAATAAAAACACGTATTATATATTATTGCAAATCAACATGCATTAACAAAGAAATATAAAAGGAAAATGCCGGATTTGATGTCGAGAGCATTGACATAATCGCCGTCCAATTCGAAGATTCTCGAATCTATATGTACAAGAAAGGAAGAGAGCTTGAATATCTCCATGTCCGGAGTCTTGGACGGCTGCTTCTCCTCTGCATTTTATGTCTATAAATACTCAAGGGGTGTGCTATCCACACACCCCATTTTACTTCTCACACACCTCTTGATGATTTCTGTCCGTTGATCTTCTTCAATTCATCCGATCTGACGGCCGAAAATTAAAAAGGTGTGTGAGAAGTAAAATGGGGTGTGTGGATATCACACCCCATACTCAATCTGCTAGTCTGCTTCTACACGCACTACTCACAGTCACAGTCACCGCTTTTTGTAACCTTAGAAATTTTGTTCAAATCTGATCAGCCTTCAATGGCGGATGAGGTGGTGTTGTTGGATTTCTGGCCAAGCCCATTTGGGATAAGACTGAGGATTGCTCTGGCTGAGAAGGGCATTGTGTATGAGTACAAAGATGAGGACTTGTGGAACAAGAGCCCACTGTTGCTGCAGATGAACCCGGTTCACAAGAAGATCCGGGTTCTCATTCACAATGGAAAACCGGTCTCCGAGTCCCTCATTGCTCTTCAGTACATTGACGAAGTTTGGAATCATAAGGCTCCACTCTTGCCCTCTGA